CTTTATGTTCAATGACATAATCCTCATTGACTGCCACTAACATTATTCTCTGGGAAACCATTGATCAGAAACTGAACTGGACCCAGCAACACAAATAATATAGCTGCAATAGCAGGTCATAGGCTGGGAATCTTGTGACATGTAATTCACCACCTGACTCCCAGAAACACGTCCAATACGTACATCACAAGTTAGGTTTTGATGGAATACTCTTCACTTGCCTTCATGACTACTGCTGCAACAACTCCAGGCTTGACACAATCCCCCAGAACAAAGCTATCCATAAGATGTAGCAGCACGTTTGGGCCATTTGGCCCATCAAATATGCTCCACTATTCGATGAGATCGTGGCTGATCCGATAATCTTTTACTCCACTTTCCTGCTTTATCCCATAACCCTTAGTTCCCTTACTGATTAGAAATCCGACTATCTCAGCCATGAATATGTTTGACAACCCAATCCTGGTTCTGCAGTAAAGAATTCCACAAATTCATTACCATCTGAGAGAAAATATTTCTACTCGTGTCTTAAATGACCTACACAATGAGAGTGTATTCTCTGGTCCTTGATTGTCCTACAAAGGGAAACAATGCTTATCCTACCATCTTTACACAGAGATAGCAGTGTGTACCATCTACAAGATGTACTGCAACACCTCACCAAGGCTTCCAATTCATGACCTCTACCATCTGGAAGAGCAGCAGATGCATGGGGATGCTACCAACTATAAGCTTTCCTAAAAGCGACACACTGTCTCAACTTGTGACTTTTTTTTTGTTGTTTCCTCACTGCCACTGGGTCAAAGTCATCAAATTTCCTTCCTAACAGCGCAATGGGTGTAACTAGACCACGTTTTCTCCAGTGGTTTCAGAAGGTGGCCTGCAGACATGGTCCCTGTTAATGGTCTGGAGCTACAGGTTTAAATCTCACTGCAGAAGCTGGGTAAATAAATCTGAAATTGGAAGCTACTTTCAGCCCACATACCAGGAATATATACAAAGCATCTGTGATTTACGAACGTTTGAATTTAGGAACGCAATCCCATAACAGGTGTGTAATTTTAAAGATCCAACATACAAGTGTTTCCTGGAATTAAGAATGATGATTGTATATTGTCCTGCATTGTGTTCTGAGACGCATACAAATTGACTTGCGAATGGGCTGAAGAATAGAACCAGTTCACAATTTATATTTAAAACAGAAATTTACAATATCAGAAGTAAGAACTTGGATTTGGAGAACATTTAATGTAGCAAAACTTCCCAAGACATTTCAAAGTCAGGAATCCAAATTCTGTCCTGAAGTAAGATAGTAATTTGAAACATTTTGAATGTGTTGGTTAAGAGGTAAGTTTTAAGGATATTTTTGAAGATCCGTGTGTGACGTGTAGCACAGTCAAGTGCTTGAGGGATTGCTGCAGCTTTGGCATCTGGCAGAACAGAAGGGCATTCATTGCACAAACCAGAGTTAGAAGTGCAGTGGCACGGAACTGCTGTCCACAGAGAGATCACAGAAATCCATGGAAGTGAGAGTACGTAGGGACTGTAAACTGCAATTAAGATTTTGAAGCCAGAAAAGCATGATCAGTAGCATGTGTTGCTGGTAGGGTTTGGTGGGGACAAATGATGGCTATGTGGTGCTTTGTGTATATTCACTTTTGTTAGTTTAATTAAGATCTGACCAATGCTTGTTAGGCAAGTTTGTATTGTCTGTCAATTGGTTGACCATGGAGAATGTGCTGGTAAACCATCTTCAACTTCTTCAGTGAAGATAGAGTTAGGTGTAGCCAAATTGAAATCCAAATTTTATTTTGGATTATGACTTGTCTGGTGGTACTTCAATAACCCGGGGAGTGGAATTCTGGTTATCATGTAGGGTCAAAGTTTACTTGGCTGCTGAAGAGGTGTATACCAAAAGTTGATTCTGGAACTGACATGCAAGAGCTAGATTCAGTGGATGAAGGTACGATGTGCAAATTGACATGGTTGATTTTTCAAGTGTGAAATAAAGATTGGGTATGGGGTTTAAATACCAGTTTAATTCAAAAGCAATGCAAGCAAAATTTCTATACTTGAGCTGCATGATTACACTGAAGTTGTCATTAGAACTAGGAACAAGTTGGTTGCCTGCAGAGGTCACCAAAGAAGGCGTTAAGTCAGATTTGTAGATGGTATATTTGAGAGGGTTCAAAAGTTATCATCTTTAAAGCATGTGCATAAGAAGTGCAGTGGTTCTACAGTTTCCTTTTGACCCCTGGAGCACAGTTGGTAATGTAATATAGCTTGGTAAGTTAGTTCTCTTTGCCCATCTTGTTGAACACTTTGGCAGCCTGAGAAATGTCAACAATTTCATTTTAATTAGGCTGAAAATGATTTTTTTTTGAAACTGTTTTTCAACTGGTTGAATTTTGCTTGCATTCATGCAATTTTTGGAAAAGAAGGTGTCTTCATGAGAAGCAGGAGAAATTTTAAGTCAATAAACTAAACTTAACTAAAGGCTAACATATGTACATCTATATTTCTTAGCTACTTTAGTATGGATGAGGTAGAACTGGTTTCAAACTGTTAGATTGGTAGCTTATTTATTTATATGGTGGAATTTCTGGATTGGGTGATCTTTGAGCTTCACACTATATAAACTGATTAATAATAAAATGCTGGCTTGAGAGAACAGAATTCCCTGGAGATGCTGGCACTGTAAAGGTTAAAGGATAATTACTAAGAGAATATTTACTGCTTAAAGCACAGCAGCTCCTTGAAATGACAAGTCTCTGTGGAACGAAAGAAATTACTTTAAATTGCAAATATTTCCTGACCTAGAAGGCTTAACTTTTCATTGAATGGATATGGTTTACATCAGAAACATTCCTTTTTTAAAATTTTAAACACTGGTGCCATGCCAGTTACAGAACTGTGCTGTCAATATATTTCAATATATAGCCTTTTTAACACCCTTTCAGTGTAATGTGAGGTAAAAATATTATATTGAATAGTTTACTATTTATTATGCTAGCTCTTTAATGCTAGAATATTTTAACACTTGTTAAATGCTTATTGTAAGCACGAGTGCTTAGATAAACCTGCATATATTATAAGATTGCATTTGCACATCCAACGTAATTCCCTTTGCCATTGTTTATGGTTCTTTTCTTAAACAGGTAATGATATTGATTCGCTTGCATCGCCTGCACACTCGTGGAAGCCGGCTTCCTCGCCACCTCCACAGACAGTGAGCACTGTCGAGTCTAAAACTCCAGCTGGAAGGAGAGGACGCTTCGCAAACCTTGCTGCGGCAATTAGCTCCTGGGACGATGACTTGAGCCACCCGAATAAAAAGCAAAACAAACCGCCAGGACAGCCTGGCACTGCTTGTTTACCAGTAGCTTCCACAACAAACAGAGCTGCAACTACTGACGACAGTAGCAGTGTTAAATTGCAAGATATAACGAGTCCTCAAAGCCCTGTAGAAAACACTGTTAGTAAAGCTACCGTTACAGTATCGCAGGTAGGTGAAGATATTAAACAAAAGACTCAAAATTAGTAGTAATGAATTGTTTCTCTTTTTTTGTTAAAATTTGAATATACTCTAACTTTCTAATCCTGTGGAATTTTCCATTAAGTGTTATCCTGTAAAATCCAAGTACTTGGTTCTATCTTTTAATAAAAAGGTAAAGGCTTATTAGCTAATGTCCTCGTGAGAATCTTTATACACCGTTCGGATTTTTTTGAGTAACACCAGTATGCTGTTATTATCTTATGGTTTCTTCACCGGCCCCCTCAAATTTTTATCATGACTGTCATGCCTCGTGCTGAAGCATTGTTTCATTGGTATAAAAACAGAAAGTACTGGAAATACACTGCAGATTATGCAGTGGGAGACAAACCAAGTTAGCGTTTTAAGTCAATGACATTTCTGAAGAAATTTGTTGCTACAATTGGCCTTCCAGTTCATTGCCTAAAGTAGTATTTTTCTTTTAAACTATGTGCACCTAGCAAATGAGCATAGAATGTGTTTAACATAGAGTTGAGTTACCCACGTCATTTGAATCTGGAATTATCCTCCTCAAACACCAACCGGAAACGTTTGATAGTGATCAAGATTGATGTGCAGAGTTTTTTTTTGTTTAATAGTCCGTTTGTGATTATCCTGTTTAGATTCAATAACTTTAACAGTAGACAAAATTCAAGTGACGTAGCTTATTAAGTTAGGGCTGGTTTACACGTTGACTTTAGTAAATCAGATACTAGTAGACCTCGAGTATAATGTTAAAAAGCGCATAATGACTTAGCATGTTGGTGCAGTTTATTAGATATCTGACACTACTTTTTTAAAAAAAAATGTTCATTCATGGGATGTGAGTGACTAGGTCATCATTTATTACCCATCTTTATTTGCTCTTGAGAAAATGTTGCTGAGCCATAATCTTGAACCACAGCAGTCCATGGTACAGTTACGCCTATGGTGCTCTGAAAGGATGGAGTTCCAGAATTTTGACCCAGCAACAGAGAGAATGGTGATTACTGTTCCTAAGTCAGGACGGTAGATGACTTGACCAATGATGTTCCAAATTATCTGCTACCCCTGGGTTGGGAAGTTTTATTGCCCAAGGTGCCTTGGTGAGTTGCTGTGGTGCATCTTGTAGGCGAAAATCAATGCTGACACTATGTGTTGGTGGTGGCAGGAGTGAATGGTGAATGGGTTGCCAGTCTTGTATCTTTATTGTCCTGGCGGTTCTCTACAGTTTGAGTTGGGTTAGTTGGATTCTTGGAGTTACGCTCATCCAGGCAAATGAGGCATATTCCATCATGCTTCTGACATGGACCTTCTAATTTGTGAGCAGGCTGTATGGAGGGAAAAGGTGTGTTATTGCTGTGGAATTTCTAATCTCTGATCTGCTGTTGTAGCCGCAATATTTATGTGACTTGTCCGGTTCAGTTTCTCGTCAATGATAACCCCCAGGTTTTTGAAAGTGGCATTAAAGCTGATGTTATTCACTGAAATAATGCCATTGAATTTTAAGGGGAGATGGTTAAATTCTCTCTTTATACAAGTCAATAATACTCTCCAGAGAGTGTAGAATGAATGTAATCTGTCACTTATCAGGTCAAGCCTGAATATTGTCCACGTCCAGCTCCATATGGAAATTTGTTTTAGTATCTGAGGAAATTATGGTGAACATTGTACAATCGTCAACAAATATCCTCCTTCTGGACTTTTGATGGAGGGAAGGTTATTGTTGAAGGAATTGAAGATGGTTCGGTCTTGGACACCTCCCTGAGAACCTACTGTAATGTTATACTGGGAATGAGATGATTGACCTCCAATATACACAATCACCAGATGTGGAGAGTTATCCCCATTTCTCTTTGACTTCAGTTTCTCTAGGGTTTCTTGATGCTACACCCAGGCATGCTTGCCTCACCCCTTTAAAAGCCTTTTTGTCTATGCTTAGTCAAAGACTAAGATCAGGAGGCAAATGATCCTACAAAACCCAAACAGCATCGGGGAACACGTTATTGCTAAGCAAGTACCACCACATAGTTGACAATTGCTCCTATTAACTTACTGATGAGAGTAGATTGATGGATGGTAATTGGCTGGATTGGATTCATCTTCCTTTCAATCAACAGGACGGATCTGGGAACCTTCCCAAATTGCCAGGTAGATATGTGTTGTAGCTGCACTGGAACAGCTTGGTTAAGGACACAGCTAATTCTGGAGCACGCGTCTTAAGGATTATTGCTGAAATTTTGTAGGGCCCATGACCTTTGCAGAATCCAGTGCCTTTAGCTTTTTTTCTTGATTTATATGTTTATGAACTCTTCAGCCTGGTCCTTTCTGCTAATGTGCGCAGCTCCTCTATTTGTGGAGCTGCCTTTTTCTGCTAATTGTCCAATTCATTGTGATGTACAAGTTTGGGAAAGTGTAGTGCAACTTCAGATTGCCATACAGTTAGCTCCTAGTCTAGAGCAAAGCACTGGTCTTTTTTTTTTAAACTACAGGAAAGAAAAATTAGAAGTTTTTTTGGCTGAAGACAGGCACATTCAGAGTTTAATTAGATCTCTGGAAACTTCAAGTGAAAAAGAAAATCAATTTATCAACACACCCGTATAAAAAAGTTTAAAAAATTTATTTGGGTACAATTGCAATTTAAATTTTTTTTTTCTTAAAATCTGATTTTTAAAAAATCTGATAGGTCTGCATGGCAGATTGTGGGTTTACATAAATTCTGCTCACTTATTCTGGTTAATTTATTTTGTCAGGAACCCGTTAATTTGCCCAAAGTATTCAGTCCAAAGACAACTGAAGAGCCCAAGTCACCAGTACCTGAAAAGACACTTGCCCAGGAAAAAGTCCAGCTTAGTCCAAAGAAAATTGAAGCCAAATCATTATCAGTGAAAGGGGCAAGTATTCAGCATCAGACCGAGTCTAAAGATCGACAAACCAAAGTGTCAATAACCCAGGTTCAATCAGGAGACATTATAACTACTCCAGGTAAGTTTCGCGAGAATTATTAGGATGGAGGTAAGCAGGACAAAGCTGATGAAGCAAATATCTCCAAACTTAGTCTTTATTGTTTTAACCCTTTTTGCAGTTGAGTACTTAAAATAGCTTTTTTGTTATAATCATTTGTATTTTAACTGATCTTGACATTCCCCAACTCTAGAAAACCATTCGGAATGCCCCAGTCGCCCTCCAGCATTTTTTTTTTCAGTACAGCTGGAGATCATATCTAGGATCTACTGATCCATTGAACATTGAATAGTGACTTTGCTTGCAGTCAGTTTGGTCTGGGCCAAACTAGCTATTGGAGAAAGCTAGGCCCAATGCCTCAATTATTTCAAGTTATCTTTTTAGATAGTTCCATGCATTGTTAAATTCAGGATTGATACTGCAAATTCCTAATAATAAATGAACATATCTCTTTTAACAAAATGCATGGTTTGTAAGCACAATGCTTTTCTTAAAAAAAAAAAGAGAGATTCCTGCACTTGCTGTTAAATTATCCCTTATCAAAATTGTTATTGCTGCAGAACACTAAGCTTGAGACAAGCCAAGTATTTGGAAGATTGCATGTACTCCTGTCATTGCATGACAGACAGCTGAGTCTCTCATTTTGATCTATTGAATTTGGGGTCTTATTTGTTTTTTCAATTGTGAGATATTTTTAATCTCCAAATATGTTACAGGTGGTACAGGGGTCAAGTCTTTTCTGGAACGTTTTGGTGAGCGTTGCCAACAACACGTATCAAACTCTGCTCCATCCACGCCTGGACAGAGATCTCTCAATGTTACACCCAACACACAAGCAATCCAGGATCGACTTTTTAAACAGCAGGAACCTTCTACAACAGCAAACTTAACTCAGCAACGTAAACAGGTCTGAACTTCAACTTTACCCATGGATTCTTTCTGAGCTTTTAAATTCAGGTGGCATGTTTTGATGTGCCACTAATGCTATTAAGAAAGAAAGACTTGCATTTATGTCCTGTCTTTCATGACTGGGAAATGCTGAAGCCCCATGCATCCAATGAAGATTTTTCAATTGTTGTCACTTACGTAGAATCCTACAAGCATCAATGTGATCATGTATAGTTAATCTAATCTATGTTAGCAATTTTTCATGAAGGATATAAATAGGCTGGGATGCCTTTGAAAACTACCTTCCGCCTCTTTGAATTAGTACCATAGGTTCTGTGTCATCTACATGAGAGAGCAGATGGGGCCTTGTAATTGAGTGTCATCTGAAACAGGACTGCTTGACAGTACAGCATACACTGCAGTATAGTACTAAGGAACTACTATGGGTTTCTGGGTTGTCAGTTGAGAAGATAATAAGAAGATAATAATCAACAGACTGCACAATGACTGAATATTCAAATAGCACCACTAACAGAGTAAAATGCCTTAAGGTACTTCCCAGTGGTGTTGTAAAGGAAAAAATGGGCATCTGGCCTTATAAAGTGATACTAGGGCACAACCTTAGTTGAAGAGTTGTGTTTTTAAGGAACATATTAAAGATGGAGAGGTGATAAGGCATGAGGGTGTGTGACAGAAGGAGATTAGTGATCTGGTAGAGTGAGGCTGTGATGGGATTTGAAATTCAAGGATGAAAATTCGGAATTTGATGCATTGTTTAACCAGGAGCCAATGTAGGTCAGCAAGCAGAGGTAATAAAATGAATCGGGCTTGGTGAAAATTAGAATTCATGGGACAGCATTTTAGATACACTTCTAAAGTTTAAAATGTGGCAGACCAAATAGGAATGTGTTGGAATAATCCAGCATAAAGGTCATAAAGACACAAAGGAATTAGTGAGGATTTTAGCAGCAGAGGAAACTGAGGCAAGGCAAAGTTGGGAAACTTAAGGGTAGAAATAGGCTGTGTTCAGGACTTTTGACTAGTGGAAATGAAAGATGCCCATGATCAATCTTTCCATCACAATGACAAAGAAATCCATGAGCTTCACCATGCTTATTATTAGACATGGGGGTTGGAGGAGTAGCTGAAAGGTTTTGAGACATAAGTTTGTAGTGGAGAAAGAGGGGATTGTCTTTACATTTCAGACTCCATCCAGTGGAGTAATTTTAGCAGATGTGATGAGATCCCATTGTGCTTTATGTGGCCCAGCCAAATTTGGTGATGAATGTTTAAGACGCTTTCTGACATATCATTTCAAGGTTGATGGTTTTGTTGAGAGTTAGGGCATTAACTGTGGAGCTGAGGGTGTGTATAAGAAAATCATTCCTGCAGCAATATTGTGCTGAAGGAAGGGTCAATAGTTCAACAGCTGGGATTTTAAAACTGTGGTTGTAAGTGAATTGGGGGATAGTGTTTTTTTTTCAGAACAAAACAGAGGTAGATTTCAGGATGGAGAGTGACATAAGGGCATGATCAGACATGGCCTTTTCTATGTTTGATATCACCATGTGGGATGGTGGGAAAGTCGAGAGAGTGGCTGTGAATGTGGGTTAGAAAGTTTGTGGAGAGTAAAAAATTAGGGATGACAAGGGGAGCCAAAGACTGGAGGGAAATTTGAGTTGAAATGGAGGTTGAAATTACTGGGCATGAGAAGTAATTGCATGCTGAGGGAGGAAATCAATGAAGACATGAAAAACTTTTTATAGGAGCAGCAGTAGGCCATTCAATCCCTCAAGCTTGATATGCTTTTCAGCAAGACTGTGGCTGATCTTCTACTTCTATGCCAATTTTATCAAGGATATTGGGATTGTGTGATGTCTTTAATATCAGAAAATCTATCAATCTCTGTTTTTACTCATGACTGAGCCCCTGGGGTTGGAAATTCCAAAGATTCACCACTCACCGAGTGAAGAAATTCTTCCTTGTCTCACTCATAAATAGCCTACACCTTATTCTGAGACTGTCTTTCCTGATTCTATGTACGCTATTCGGGGGAAATATCCTTCCTGTATCTATCCTGTTGAGCCCTGTAAGAATTTGTATACTTCTCATTGAAGTGATGGGGGTGGTGCAAAGAGTTTGCAGAGGAATATAGCCAGATTAAATAAGTGGGCAACGACTTAGTGGATGACATATAATGTCGGGAAATGTCAGATTATGCACTTGGCAGGATGAATAGAGGAACTGGATATTATTTAAACGGAGAAAGACTGCAGAAACCTTGGAACAGAAGGATTTGAGGAGATGTTGAGTTTATTGGACCTCTGCTCATTGAAATATGGAAAAATTATTAGGGACTTTATTGAAATATACAAGACTCTTAGCGGACTTTATAGGGTAGATGGAGAAAAGTTGTTTCCCCTTCTGGTAGAGGCCATGACCCAAATGCGTTATCTTTGAATAAGGGATCTCACATTTACGACATGAGGGATTTTGTGTCTCAAAGGGTTATGAATCTATGGAATTCTTTACCACAGGGCTGTTGACGCTGGATCATTAAGTATATTCAAGGCTGAGGTAGGCAGATTTTTTAAGGCAGTAAAGGAATCAAAGATGATGAGGAAGAGGCAGAAAAATGGTTATCAGATCCATCATGATTTCACTAGATGGAGCAAGACTCGATAGGCTGAATTATTGATTAAAGATCTATCTAACTCAGCCTTGAATATACTTCATGACTCAGCCTCTACAGGTTCACTACCTTCAAACAAGAAATTCTTCTGTACCTTTTGTCTCAAATGGACAACCTGTCAAGTCCCCAAAGAATCTACGCTTAAATAAGGTTGCCTTTCATTCTTCTAAAGTTCAAAGAGTACTGTCCCAATCTACTCCACCTCTCTCATAAGATAGATTTCAACCAATGATACTGTTACTGTGCTTAAATTATCTACTTAAGCTCTTTTTACTTATAGTAATAAAGATGATTAATGACCAAACAAAATGTTCCAGATCTCTAGGCATGTCTGAGTGACCTTTTCACCCCTTCAGTCTCTCGTTGACAAACCAGCTCTATTGGCGGTTACGTCTGCCAATAGAGCTGGTTTGTAAAGATGAGAAGCTAAAAGTATGTGAAGGTCACTTATACATGTCTTGAGTTCCAGAATATTTTGTTTGGTCACTACTTATAGTAATAACGATGATTTAAAGAGCTTACGTTGATATGTAGGCAACGTGAGCCGACGTTTCCACAATCTAAATTGGGAATTTAAGGCAGAAAATTGCAATAGTTGATAGATTTGTGATACAGAGTACTGCCAACAGATTGGGTTCAATTCCTGCACTGGTTGAGGTTCCCATGAAAAACTCCCTGTCAACCTCTCCCCTTGCCTGAGGAATGGTGGCCTCCAGGTTAAGCCACCACCAGTTGTCTCTAATGAGAGAGCAGCCCTGTGGTCTGATTAAAACTATTGTGACTTTACCTTCATTAAATATGCCCCTTGTTGAGTCAGGATAGCCCTTTTTTCAGAATTTTGTTGCAATTGTGTTTCAGGAACGTGAAAAAGAACTGGCTAATATTCGCAATCGTTTTCAGAGGGGTAACTTGTGGATTGCTGATAAGGAAAAAGAAAATTGCTTCTCCAAGTTATCAGAGGTATATATTTCTCCTTGAATTATTATTAAATTGGTGTAGGAGGCTACGTGTTCAGGAATACTCTGAATATTGTTCTTTCCAATGCTTGACTTCTCCAAGAAAATTAAAAGCTTAAACCTCATAAGATCCAATGCAGCTTAAAGTGAGTAGAAAGACTTTGTAAGCTGTTAAGAAGGGCTAATTTTTAAATAACCCAGCACAAGTTCAACTGAGGCATTCACATAAAGGAATTTAGTTATCATATCCAGGTATTTTAAACCAAACTCTTGTTGGGTAACTAATGCATTGTAAATAAATATTAATTGGATATTTGTTTTCAATGTGGTGATTAGTTAAAGCGATTAGTATCTCAAGAAATTTGTATATTCTTAAAACTTCTTCAAATCCAGGAGTAGGTGTCCACCTTTTAGGTTACGGTTCGAAAGAGAAAATTGTGCTAGCATTGCAGAAATAATGTGCATCAATGACAAATTCCATCTGATAAAAGTGACAGCTGGTGAGAAGTTTTGTTCAAGTGGTAGGTTTTAAGAAGTGGCTTGTAGGAAAAGAGAGGCTGAGAGATGTGGTGACGTAATTTCAGGACTTGGGGAGTTGAAGTGACAGTCAACAATAGTGGATTCATTGTATGCAAGAGACTTCGCTGTCGTGCAGGATTAACAGATGGAACATGTCATGTCCGTGATTATTTGATTCCTCTCAGTATTGATTCCAGTTTTCAGATGTTGTTATGACAATTTCTGACAATTGGAATAATCTTGTATTGCAGATAACAAAAATGTACAAAGCAAACTAATCGCCTCTCATTTTCAACTTTAAAATAGGATTGCAGTGATTCTCTCCCTAGAACCTCTGAGCAAAGGAGTCCAAAAGTTCACAGATCCCAGATGAGTGCTGCACAGCACCCACCTCGGTCAACATTGCAACCAAATCCAAAATTGCCATTGAAATGTGCATTAGCAGAGGCACTTGAACCATCATCTATAAAAATATCTAGCTCCGCCAAAGCAGGTACTGTGGTTTTATTCAAAGAAATTAGTGGTACGTGATTAATTTATTCTTTTGAAATAGTTTTCACAGGCAACTAGTTATGAGAAACCAATGCTCAGTCACATCCGCTCCAGGATTTCTGCCACAAGCACAACCTCAATATCTGGAGAAAGAATGAATGCACAATTTGGTGATAATAGACATTTTGGCCACTACTATCATCCATTCTGGCTTGCGTGTGAGGAGTATTATACGCTGAAATACATTCATTCCCTCCTTCAACTTTTTCACTGGCCTCTGATAGTATCGGGTATCAATCACCTGTAATGATCAGGAACATAGAGGAAGGATCATAGGCCCTCCAGGCCTGTGTCACCATTCAATAAAATCACATCTGATCTAATTGTGATCTCAGTTCCACTTTCCAGCTTATCCATATAACACTTTGTTCCCTATCCAAATCCACCTTGAATAAATTCAATAGTTCAGCACACTGTACAATGCAGTAAATGTTACCACTGTTATATTTAACTCCCATTGCAATAAACACCATCATTTTATATACCTTCCCAATCACTTGCTTCACCTGCATAGTATCCCTTTTGTGATTCATGCAGCAAGAAATCCAAATTCCTCTCTACCTGAGTTGTAAACTAAAAAAGTTGTATTCCCACCTGTTTAAATTTTTGCTCCGTTACTTATCCTATATCATTTTTGGAGATATGCTACTTTTTCTTGACAACTTACCTTCTGGCCTATCTCGGGGTTGTTGGCAGGCTACAATCGCTGTATATAGTAAAAAGTTGGAGTCCCAGCAATGATCTCTTGTGCTCCAGCAGTGCTTTCTTGCCTGCTTAAAAAGACCTATTTACCCTCTATTTGTAGTTAGCTAACTCCAGTTCCAAGAAGGACCAGGAGGCTGAAGCATTAAACAGCAGGAGCTTTATGGAGATGTTCACTCTCTGCAGGCAGCAAAGTTAGAGAGGACATTTTTTATTTTATCTGCCCAGAACGGTCGATGATGCCCTGCTTTAGACATGTCATTGGGCTCTTAAAGTGACAGTTAATCATACCTGTGCAAATACACATCCCACATATACTACTTGTTAGCTAACTAATCATCTAATGCTAATATGTTATCCCCTACACCACAAGCTCTTATGTACCTTTGAGGCACTTAATCAAATCCTTTTGAAATTATAAGTACACCACATTCATTACTTGTTCAAAGAGCTCTCCTAAATTAATTCAACATGCTTTTCCTTTCACAAAGCCATATTGGGTCTCCTTGATAGCATTGATTTTTTTCTAACTATCCTGCTATAATGACTTTAATAATGGATTCCAGCAATTTCTCAATGATTGATTTTTAGGCTGACTGGTCTGTATTTTCTGCTTATCATGACAGACTGCAGTACACAGCACTCAGATTCCAAATACTGTCTGAAGTCTTAAAAGTGATTAATCTCAGTGCTATGGATTTGTATTATGCTTCTATCATTTATATGGTGCACAGATTCCATGCTGCTGCCTGAAAGCTTCAGAGTCCTGTTCATCGGGACATTTAAACTATCTTGAGCCATGTCCTGTAAGATTATACCATTTAGCTTCTAATGCCATTGTTTTTTGCCTTTCCCAATCTCCTCATTTTTGTATTTGTAAGCATTAAGTGAAGTTCCTTATTTCTCGGTATAGGACCCCAGCTACTCAAATTGATCAGCCTATTCCCTGTTGTTTTAAGGTTCCTCCTGGTGTGGTACTATCTGTAAACATGTAGGATTTTCTTTCTCCACTCCCAAGTCATCTATGTTTAATTTAAACAGCAAGATTCCAATAGTGATCACTGAGGAACTGCACTAGTTGATCTGTTTCATGCGCTAGATGTTTAATCGTCTTTTGAGTCCTCTGCTTTAACCATCTATCAATATATTTCAGAGGCATACTACCTATCATGTGCCTTCCAACCTCACTTCCAAAGATTATTCAAATCTTTACCCTCTTATTTTATTTATCTTGAGATTTGAGAACGTCAATAAATAATTTCTGTAAGCGCATAAAATTTCTTCAAAATTTTTAACAGAAAATTGCATCCACCTCCAGCAACAACTTTTATTTTGAACTTTGTGCTGACGCGTGATCTATTTAAATCACTTGTGGGACGTGGCATCACTGTCAGGCAAGCATTTATTGCACGTCCTTAGTTGCCCTTGAGAAGGTAGTCCATGTGCTGTGTAGGTTGACCCACAATGTCCTTAGAGGGAATTTCAGGATTTTGACGGAGTGACAGTAAAGGAATGATATATTTCTGAATCAGGATGTGAGTAACTTGGAGGGCATCTTGCAGATGGCGTTGTCCCATGTATCTGCTGCCCTTCTCCTTCATGTGTTTGGAAGATACTGTCTAAGGATCTTTGGTGAATTTCTGTAGTGCATCTTGTAGATAGTACACGCTGCCGCTACTGACCGGGCTCAATATGAAGGTGGGACTTTGTCTCCGCGAGGATTGTGTAGTGGTCACTCTCGCCAATACTGTCATGGACATGTGCATCTGAAGGTAGCAGACTGGTAAGGATGTTTTTCCTTATTGGTTCCCTCGCCATCTACTGCAGACCCAGTGTCTCGGTTATGTCCTTTAGGACCTGACCAGCTCGATCAGTAGTACTACTGCCAAGCCACGTTTGGTGGAGGACATTGAAATACACCACCCAGAGTACATTTTGCACCCATTCACCCTGAGCGCTTCCTCCAGGCATTGCTTGCTATGGACGAGTACTGATTCATCAGCCAAGGGAGGACGGTACTTGGTAATCAGCAGAAGGTTTCCTTGCCCATGTTTAGCCTGAAGCCATGAGAGTTCATGAGGTCCAGAGGTAATGTTCAGGACTCCCAGGGCAACTCTCTGCCAACTGTGTACCACTGTACTGCCACCAATTCCACCATGTGCCATGGTGGGATTCAAACCCAGGTCTCCAGTAAATTTATTGAGTTTCTGGGTTAATAGTCTAGTGATGATACCACTGTCTCATTCAAGATAAAACTAGATTTATGAGCTTGCAATGTGGAGCACATCAGGGCATATAAGAAATTCCCCTTGTAACTAGTGATTTTGAAGCTTCCTGTCTGTATATTCAAAAGTAAGTGTGAAATTGATGCATCTAGACCTGGATACCTTTTAAGCAACACAAGATACGCAAGAACAGAATTAACTTTGTGTTGTTGCAAAGAATGATGAAACTTGGATGAATGCCCTTAACTCAATACCCCAGTCATTGATCGCTCCACCAAGAGGAAGGTTTCTTCCTGTTACCCTGTCTGTGGCCCACATTCTCTAATCTTTGAGAGGTACTCTGTGAAGAAATAATAATTTTCTCATTGATTAATACTTCATACTTTGTTGTGCTTCATTAGCAAAGAAATTGAATCATACGACACAGTGGATGGTTATTCACCCGATCAAGGCTGAGCCACCCTTTGGGGGAGCTATCTAACTAGTCCCACTTTGCCATAGCTACTTTTTTCTTTCAAGTTCAGCTTTCATTTGAAAGTTACAGCACATTCCAGATTTTAACAAATAACATTTGGAAAAGGGTCTGGTGTATTATCTGGTTCTTTTGCCATTACCTCGCATCTGAAATCATTTGCCCATTTTGTTTGCTGTGGATAGTTTGATATGAGATAACAAGGGAAGGGGATAGAGTGGGAAAAATTGGTAGTACTTCTGAATCTCTGGATTTTAATAATATATCAACCAGCTAGAGATTTAGTGCCCTTGGATTTCAGTGCATATTTGTTTAATTTTAATAGTTGCTTCTGGTGGACAAAGCTTGGAGGTTTCAAATAGCCCTATCAGATTAAGTCCTTTCAAAAAGGTTACCTTTGTCTCTGAACGACTGAATGTCACTGAGAATGCGACAAGGAATGAAGAAAAGGGTGATGATGAAAGAAATAATGGTGAGTCGATAACAACATCTGTGTTTCTTCATATGGCGGTAGTATTTTATCTGCTGATTACTTTACCTTAAAAAATACTTACAGGATTTTGAATAAAAACATTCCCTTAGGGCTTAGTTGCACTAGACTATATTTAATGCTGATCTGTCAGTGTCAGTTACTAAAATACTTGAAATGTCTGAAAAATGTAAAAGTATTGCCAGGATGAGTCATAGAATCATGCAGGTTTACAGCACAGAATCATGGTGGTCTACAGCCCTTTTGTTCATTGAGTCTGTGCCAGTTAAAAGCAAGCGCCTAACTAATTTAATCCCATTTTCCAAGCACTTTGCCCACAGCCTTGTGTGCCTTGCTGTCGCATTCCCTCTAAACCTCCTGTCCCTTAACTTAATTATACACCTGATCATTGATCGGTCCACCAAGGGGAGGGTTTCTTCCTGTTACTCTGTGCCCCACGTAATCTTATGAATCTCAACCATCTCCTCCCTCAGTCTCCTGTGCTCCAAGGAAAACAACCTCAGTATATCTAATCTCTTTGTGACTAAAACTATCCAGCCCAGGCAGCATTCTGGTAAATCTCCTCTGCAGCCTCTTCAGTGCAAACACATCCCTCCTATAATGTGGATTCCAGAACTGCACACAATGCTGTAATGATTACACTGCAGTGGGTTAAAGCAAGGAAAAAAAACTGGCGTATGCTCTTCATAACTTCAGTATCCCAAAATGCTTTACAGTCTGAGGAATTTTTTGGTATATTTGGAGCCAATTTGTGCTCTATAAGGTTCCATGAACAACATTGAGGTAATGATGTCTTAAACTTCTTTAGGTTGGCTGAGTGTTACATATTAGGTAGGATACCAGAACTGTATTGCTGTTCTTCAAATGGTGCCATACATTTTTTTAGATTCACCTCCTAGGTTAGACAATTCCAACACCTCCAATAGTTCAGCTTTCTCTGTGTTTATTACACGTAAATTTTGTGCCATGTAAAAATAATTTACCACTGAGCCACACGTGAGTAGAATTTTCCTGTTTTATTTGTTCTGGAATGTGGGTGTTGCTGGCTGGACTAACTTTTATTGCCTAGCTCCATTTCCCCTTGATCTGAGTGGCTTGCTCGGGGCATTTGAGGGCAGATAAGGGTCAACCACATTGCTGTGTCTCTGAAGTTGCATGTAGCCTAGACCAGTTAAGGATGATACATTTTCCTTCCCTAAGGGGCATTAGTGATTACAAATTTTACCATCTGCCATCTGGTGGAATTTGAATCCATGTCCCTAGAACATTCACCTGTTCTGGATTACCAGCCCAGTGATATTACCACTATGCCACTACCTCCCCTTAGAATTGATCTTAGCCACTCAATTTGCTTCTGGCAAACAATCAAATTGTGGTCTTGAAATAGGAGGAAAGTTAAATAAGCTTGAGCATTGTTGCCTAAAACTAAAATCTTAATCCCTATTTTTAATAATATACATAAAATTAACTCAGTATTTAGTAAGACAGATAAGTAGGACCAAAATACTGAAGTTAACCAGTTATTAATGTGTTTTAAGGGACCCCTGACTATTTTCTTTTAATATTAGAACACAATTTGGTTGTTGCTTAAATTCTTTTACATTAAAGCTGCTAAACAAGCATGATAATGTGGGAACTTTAACAGTACAGTGATGTAGCAAATGATTAATGAATTAAAATTATGTTCCTCTCTGTCCTCAGCCCAATCCAATATGGGAATTTGATTTGTCTCATTTGATTTACACTATTTTTTTCCTAAATAGATATTGTTTTACATAAAAGCCTTGTGAATTTAGGAAAGCCTTAATAATTAAACCATATCAGGTTGGTAGACATTCTTAAATGCGTGCAGTAGTCTTGGGATAGAATTTGGGATTGGAGGCGTTGAATTCCTCAGCCTCTCCCAAATCTACAACTATCATACCCAAAACAGCAGTAATGTTACAGGAATAGCAAAATTGAGTTTTGATCCTATCACAGCAGCTGGGGAAATCCAAGTTATTTAATTATTTAATCTGGCACAACACATTAATCTCATAACTAGTAGTTGTTGTAAAAACCCAACTACTTAACCAATGTGAGGAAATCTGCCATCCATGGCTGATCTGGCCTGCATGTGGTCTGTCCCCACAATATGGCTCACTTTCAACTGTTTTATGAAGTGACCTAGTGATCTGTTGTCAAAGTCAAATAATAAAACCAGGTGGACCACCCAAGCATTGACACAACCTCTGCAAGTGACAAAGTCACTACAAAGTTTTTGTTGCTAACGTCTCAGACTGTTGACCAAAATTGGGAAAGTTGGTGCACTGATGAGAATGAGTGGTCATGGGAGTCCTCGACCTTGACTTTTGACTCAATGAAGTCTTGTGACATCGGGTTAAACACAGGAAAGGGAATAACCTCCTGATTTATCTATTGCTAACCCTCCCCCCTCAGCTAATGAGCCTGTGCTCCTTCATGTTGCACATCAGTTTGTAAAAGCATTGAGGGTATCAAGGACACAGAATATACCTGGGGTGGGAACCTTCAATGTTCATTTTCCAGAGTGATTTGGTAGCATCCCTACTCGCTGAGCTGGCTGAGCCCTGAAAGACTTGGATGACAGACTTGACCTGTGATAAGTAAGTCAGAGATTACACTCTGATATTACCTTGGGCTAGAGTTAGAGTATGTCAACAGCATCACCAGGTAAACTTAAATACAAACCTATTGATGATGTAACACTGAAATATATGTATGGTAAACCATGGCAGCAGCATGTTACAGACAGCCCAATAATCCTAACCAATTGATTCCAATTTAATCCCTGCCACATCCAGTCATGAATGGTGGTAGACAATCTGACGATTAACCGGACGAGGTTGCAAAAAGCAACCACATTCGCAATGATTTGCGAATCCAATACATCAGTGATAAAGGCAAAGCTGAAATACGGAGTGGATGATTCAACTCTGTCTCCTTTTGAGGTCCACACTATCATTGATGCCATTATTCAGTCAAATCTGTACATGCCCCATGATCTCCTCTGCCTTCAGCCTTTTTTGTTTTGATGTAGCAAATGTTATTTGAACTATGGATCCTCACTATAACAGAGAAGATTGAACTCAGGAACTAGATGCATCCTTAGATGAGGTGTACATTGCAGCTACAACATAGGCATTTACCAAGATTTGTGGAAAATTTTCCAGGTGTGTCCTCTCTGAAAAGGAGGATAAATCTGTTGATCAAAAGCAGGACCAATCCAATCCAGCCAATCACTGTCCCTTCAGTCTACTCTTGATCAGTTGTGCAGTTTAGGTTCTGTCAGACACAACCAACTCCAGACCATATTATGGGCTTTGTCCAAATCTGAAAAAAGGCTGAATTCCAGAAGTGAGCTGAAAGCACCTTGGTATAGGGAGCCATTTAAGTGGAGGAAGGAAATAGGAGTGTAGTTGTGGTCAGGGACAGTATAATTAGGGGATTAGATACTGTTCTCTGCAGCTGAGTAGGAGTCCTGTAGGCTGTCTTGCCTGCCTAGTGGCAGGGTTAAGGACATCAGAGTTGAAGAACTTCGAGAGGGAAAGGAGGGAATTGGATAGTCATTGTCCACGTTGGGGTAATGATATTGGTTGGTCTAGAAAGGTGGTTTTTCTCTAAAGACTTTGAACAGTTAGGAGCTAAATTAAAAATCAGAACCTTCCATGGTAGTAATTTCTTTATTATTACCTGATCTATGGGCAAACTCAAGGAGTTAAATGTATGGCTCAGATTGGTGTGGGTGGAATGCCTTTCAGTTCCAAAAGCACTTGCACCAGTACTGGGATAGAAGGTAGCTATTCTCGTGGGATGGCCTTCACTTTAACCATGTTGGGACCAGTGTCCTGGCAAATCAAATAGCTAGGGCTGTAGAAAGGGCTTTAAACTATTTTGGGTGGGGATTGATGTTGAAGGTTTGGAAGAGGGGGAAATGTAGGCTCTCAAAACAAGAGGGTATGGCAGAATTGCAGGGCAGATATTTGGATAAAAATACCTTTAAGTGGGACAAGAATGGACAAGAGTTTGCAAGCTTAGAAAAACTGCAGTAAATAGGGTCAATAGGAGAAATAATGGTTAAAAAGACTGTTTACTTGAATGTGCATAGTACTTGGAACAGAATAGATTAATTAAAATCACAAATAAGACCATAAGATACAGGAGCAGAATTAGGTCATTCAGCCCGTCAACTCAGCTCTGCCATTGGATCTTGATTGATACATTACTCCACCCCATTCTCCTGCATTCTCCGTAACTCTTGACTCCCTTACTAATCAAGAGCCTATCTATTGCTATCTTAGAGACACTTAATGATGTAGTATCGCAGAAGGCTGTGGAATCTGAGGTCCACAGATGAACCAATTTCTGGAGAAATTGCTCCTCATCTCAGTTCTAAAGGGTCATCCTTTCATTTTGAGGCAATGCCCTCGGATCCTAGTCTCTCCTACTAGAGGAAGCATCTACAATACAGATTAATGGGTATGATCTTATAACCATATCTGTGTAATGGCTACATGGAAATCAAAGCTGGGGACCAAATATTCAGGTGTATGTGACTTTCCGATGGGACAGATGGGGTAGCGTTGTTGGTATGGGATGGAATAAGTATGATGGTGAGAAATGATTTTGAATTGGAGGATGTAGAATGCATTTAGTTGGAGGTAAGAAATAGTGAGAAAGAAAAGACTAGAGTAGTCTACAGGCCTCCTAACAGTAGCTATTCAGTGGGACAGAGAATAAGTTAGGAGATAATGAGGGCAACAAAGGCAGTACATTAATTATGGTAACTTAATCATCATTGAGATTGGGATAGTCACATTGGCAGAGGAAACCATGAGGAAGAATTTGTAGAGTATGTTCAGGACATTTTCCCAGAACAATATGCTGTAAATCCATCAGGGATCAGGCTATTTTGGATCTGGTGATGTATAATGAGGCAGGTTTAATAAAATATCTCGGTAAAA